ACCAATTAATAAAACCTCCCTAACGAGCAAATACCCCTTATGTGAGGCTGGATGTTGGCCAGGACAGTGGTCTTTTTTCCTTGCGATGCAGAAGGTAACACTTGTCAAGAGGGTAAAGAAAGATTCCACGAGAAGGTCGAAAGGTCGAAGAAGGGAAACTTACCTAGTGGAAGACAGGCGGATCCCTAAGGGTGCGGACCGACACGCAAGTTATAGCAAACAGTACGCCCCGGTAGCATGGCCCTCCCCGAGGCGCCATGGGCGCGGTACACCTCCCTCTCGCTGTCCGACTGTCTGGCCGTTTAGCAGAGAGCGAGAGAGCCTTAGCGTTGAAACGGGCATCACCGTTGAGACTCGCATTGATGCGGAAACCAGCACGCAAGGAAAGAGGCCCGTTTCTCGGGTACTGGGCAGTTCCTCGTCTCGGGAACTGGGCCGTTCTCATGGTTTTTTCTTCATTCCTGCACCACCGAGCACCTTCAACCTTATTTCTGATGAGCTGCGTTCTCATCGCAGATTTCGCCGTCAAAAAGCAGCTTAGGTATTCGAAAGAATATGCTGCACATACTCTTTTGCCCTAAACAAGTGCACGACTCTTCTCAAAACGATAGATCCATTTAACCATTTGATTCTCTTAACACTGCATTCTCACATCCTTTTGCCTTGCGAAGCGTTTACATATTAGAATGGTAAGCGAAGGCGTGGCGCACACTCCGAGCAAACTGATTGATACTGATCACTTTATCGCTTCGTTTTTAAGCATTTTCTATATGATTCCCCTTGCAAAAACTCTCCTACATATGAAATGGCTGTTTTTTGTTCTGTTGTGTCGTCCTTTTTTGATTTTTTTCATATGAAGCAGAAAAACTTCGATATTGATGTGGACGAGGAAAACTGGTTGCTTTACCTATGATTTTCTTTGCACAACTTGTCGCTGTTCTGGAGCAATCAATATCCACACCCATGCTTGAAAACCCGCGGCTATCTGAAAAATGTCTTTCTCATCGCTATACTCTTCGCTATATGAAATGCGATTTACAGAAAAACTATCCTTGCAGTACCTGGTGGTGTGATTGAGATGAGCGCGACATCCGCTGAGAAAACACCAGTGTGGTACATCCGAGGGATATCTGACAAAAAGACGGGAACGTAGTCGGCATTCCCTTAAAATTCATCAATTAAAAAAAACGAACCATCAGATCCTTGAGTGAACGCAATCGTTCTTTTTTCTAAAACCTTAAAGGCATACCCCAGGATCACATTGGTGTGCTCATGTACACGAACGCGAATGTATTGGTGCGAAGAGAGCCGCAATAAAGAAAAAAGGAAAAGAAACTTACGAAATGCTTAGGTCAAGGGCCCGCTCACCTTCCTTATCGGCGAGCAGGGAATGAGATGGACTAGGCGCGAAGAGAGATATGCGCCGAGAGCCAGCGCCACAGATGAGAGATCGTATCAACACCCTTATAAAAAATTCTGCCAGATTGGAGCAGTGTACTTGGCAAGGCCCAGCGCCCTCTTTCGGTTGTTCGTGCACACGATAACGCCAATCATTGCGATTTCTATCTGGGTTGGTCTATACCACAGTACAATAATGAAGCTTCACCGCCTCTTCATGTGGTGCCTTTACTAGTGACAAGCCGCCTTAGTGACGGGAAAAGCATCGCCTCCGTATCCCTTTATATAGATGAAAGCACTGGCTTCAGAGACCCGGTCCAAAAAAAAAAAAGGGAAACTAATTCGGGCGGTGCGGTGGATTTGTTAGTTAGCGCGGCAGCACAAGCAAGCCTTAGCTACCGTTTCTCGCACTTTGAGTCGCCAATAGTGACGCCCTCCTGCGCTGGAGCTCCCTTCTCATCTAAGAGGACTAGCCTCGGCACCTGATCTTGCGGAAATCCGTGGCCTTCAAATGCTCGACGATCAACAGTGTGTCATTCGTCTGTAACTTCAAAGCAGATAGTGTAACGAGCTTTTAGAATAAATGAAAATACGAATGTGAACGTAACAAAATGTTTTATCAGTTCGGTTTTAATATATCTACAGAATAATTACTTTCCAAAGTTACGATTATCACACGCATCATTTTATATTTTTTTTTTATTAGTTATCTTCATACTGCTTTGTTTTTAAGGCTGTTTTTGGACGCAGTTCGCCTTGCGAATGTTTCACAAGAATGTTGGGTTGAGAACAAAACTTTCGCCCCAGACTGGGATTGGAACGAGAGGTGCGGTGTTCGAATCCCGTCTGGGACGAAAGCTTTGTTCACGACCCAGCATTCTTGTGAAACATTTTCTTATACTATGAAATTCTATACCGAAATACTTATTCCTTTAGTGCAAGTTCCAAATGTACAAGAGAAATGTCTATTTTTATAGTTCACGATAACAAACCATAAGTGCTATTAGAAGATTACGCGCTCCTTTCAAACAATACAAGACAATCTGACCTTCGTTTACAAGCCGTCGCAGATTTCCACAAATGAAAAGACAAATTTGAAACGAATCTTTCCCTAGAAAATGCGAGTTAGTTAAAAAGGAGTACAGTTAAAAAAAAAAATGATTGCTCACCCCAGTACTCGCTGTCTGTCCAAGGAATCCGCCCCTGTAGGATGATATGTGCAGGTCGTATTCGGGAGAGGTTGTTACGTTTCACATGTCGGCATAACGCGTCAAGCAGCTCGGTAGGGGTGGATGCATGCGGGTGAACGTAGATGTCATTACCTTTAATGGTAAGGAAACTACAAGTTACCCAAACCAATAGCGATTCTAACAGAGAAAGGGGAATATTTGTGCATAGTAACTTGTACCTACCGGAAGTGATACATGACACTGCTTCGTCAGCCGAGACACGTTTTGGAACTTTGCCAGCAATAGGAACAGAGCCAAACGACTCGATAATCGACTAAACATCTGAAAATCTGGCGGTTTTATTTGGAAGGGATGATTATTGTGAAAATCCTTTTCAGAGTTGCATCAAGGCTTCTATGAGTCGTGTTCAACAAAGAAATTCAAATATGATGCTTGAAGCAAATGTACTATCATCTGTAAGATAGAAAGAAAAAAATCAACGAAATGCTCTAACGTGCTATACGAAGTTATACGTAGTTTTGGAAGTATTGGGTTGTCTCATAATTCCTGTCAATTTCGACACTTTTGTTTATTCAAGTTTTATCTCTTCTAGGAAACAACTGATCAACAGCATAACCACCATCATGGTCACTGATATGCGTGCATTTGCTAGGGAGCGTTTGGAAGCTTCCAGCCCAGAATGAAGGAAGCTGGGGGTTGAAGAATTTGGAGAAGTCGTTTTTGGGGTGGTCGCAATCTTTAACTTTCTTCTCTGGCAGATGCTTATTCAGGGCGCAGGGAGGCGATAGTCCGATAGAGCGATGCCAGTGCTATATGGTGGATGAGTATCGCGACCTTGGCTATTTTCCTCAGAACTTATTGCAATGTGGGGTTAAAGGTCTATTTGGAGAACGGAGATTCTGAGACGTTTCTGAGCGGTTCCCTCGCAATACTGAAGCCAACCTGTAGGACTATTCTACGCTGCTTGTCTTCATACAGTGAAGTGGTTCCCAAACCAGGCCACCCAGCGAATACAACAAACGAGAGTAATATTCTCAGAAATACGGAGTTCGGGCTTTGGTTGAGCTGGTGCTTCCTGGCTGCGAGGTAGCCATCAGACGTGCCGCGTGTTGTTGTCGCAGTGGACTCATGACTCATCTCCACTGGTGACCGATTAGGGAAGGCTCTGCTTTTGCCGTCCCAGAATGGAATTTTCCCCAGATGGTCAGGCGTGCTTCTTGCTCATGGTCGGCCGAGCATCGAGACTTCATTCTGCTGCAGTCCTTTCCATCCTGGCGTGCGCCGGTGCATCGGCTGCGCCCAGGTATCTGCTACAATACCCTGGTAGCAACGCCCGGAGGCACTCCCAATTTAGGGTGCAAGGGGCGCTCATCAAAAATGACCGCAGGCCCAGTATGAGGTTGAAGTTCACAGCTCGTTTCGTCTTTGCCGTTGCGATTGGACCACTAGCTCAGTACCCTATCAGTAGCAGAGACTGAGTCAAACACAGCGCTGATCTTCTCTGTTGTCCTCCTTGCTAGAGTTCATTTGAGGATCGTAAAGCATAATCATTCATTATAGTCACTGACCTATTTTTATTCCTAGTTGATTAACCCGTTACGGGCTTGCTCTTCCGAAACCATGCTGTTAAGGCTCTTGAAGTACTTCAACATACTAACGTATTTCGCAATGAAACGGTCTTAGACGGAAGAAATTTGAAATTGAATAGAAATGCGACAGGAATTATGAGACAACCTAATATGTAAACTCACGAAGAAGAAACATCAGGCGCCCAGATGAGGCACCAGATGGGAAAGATACGAGGGAGTAGAGGGGCCCGCGAGACGACGGACGGACGCCAGTGCAATGTATAATTTTAGGGTTGGACCAGTTGGTCGTGGCATGAACCTTAAAGGTACGCGGTGACGCTGGATGTTGATGTAAAGGAGATAAAAGGGAGATACATTTACTGATTGGGATCTTGAAAATGCAACATTCAGAGGGATGAGTAAATCAAAGAATCCGTTTAGCATCACATACAGACAATAAAATCCTCTTCCTTCTGAAAGGACGAAGGAAAAACTTTGAACACATTTTTGTTATGTATATATAGTTGGTCAATTATGAATGTTCATATTTTATTCAGTCAGAGTCCCGAAATGAATCTGAGGAAGCAGACTATTGACAACAGTGCAAGTAATAACTCATATAAGTTGGGCCTTACTCAGTAGTGACTCTCATTGGAAATGTCCGGGCTGCAGCTGGTCTGTTGCTGGTTTGTGGCTAGTTTAAAGATCCGGACTGGACTACGGTGGGGTCTACCTTGAGGCTGCTGATGTTTTGTTGATTTTGACCATCTGTAGGATAGCTGTGACGTTTGATCGGGTTGTTCACTGACTAGATTTCTATAAAATAGTATACGCTCTTACGAAGGCGTTTCTGGAAGTAATCCGATTGAAGCCTTTGTAATAACCTCGTGTCATGTTCGTTGGAAAAATTTCGAGTTTTTATGCGGAGGTTCGTGCAAATCCGTACATGGCAAGTTCTCATTCAAAATCTTAATGAAAAAAAAAACAACAACCTGCAGAATCATAAACTTGTGGAAAATCTTTAAAACAGCTTATAGAATACATATGAAAAGAATATGCGTAGTAAAAGGCGTGGCCCAATAACACTAGCAGGAGAAAAACGCTCATCAATCATCGTGGCTGGGATGATAACGGCAGTGTACTTGATATGACATTGTTATCATTATCGTTCGACTTCCATTCCGGAAGTCTTGTTTCCCTCTTAGTTGTATCTTATAAGATCTTATCTTTTGCCGGCCTACACCTACCATCTAGAAAGCCTTCTAATCGTAAGTTTGGCCATCATCCAAATCGAAATGCGGATGAGGGGCTACATTCTTGAGTTTTTGACAGTCTCTTGTGACCTTTCTGTACCACTTGGCACCTCTACTCTCATATTTAATCGAAGTCAAACTGTCGTGGACGTTGCATCAAAACCATGAAGTGTGACAATTTCGCCGACGTTACGCCTGTAGAGGTGATCGGTGCACATGCACTTTACGCTGAAGTTACCTACATGAAATCATGTGATCAACAAAGGGAATACTCTAGTCATTGCTTTACTCTGAGGTAGTCAATAGTGGATGTGAGAATTTTTCACGTGTTCCTTCCCCTGTGAGCGTTTCGGGCTTACAACAGTTTATAAAATCAGTGAAGACCTACAGATAGATGAGCAAGTGACAGTAGGAGACGTCAACAAGAAAGCTCCCTCTTTGAAAACATCCGAGGTAATAGGCTATCGTGGAAAACGCTAGAGCTGGAGGCACACATAATCTTACGTACTAACGATGAAAAAAACCTTAAAGGCACGTTGTACGGTAGGTGGACATCGAATAAGGAGGAATCCAATTTCTGCTCTAAGAGGTCTGGCCTCATAGGGACAGAGATATGGCGCTTCCGCGGAAAAAAGCATGTGTAGCGATCTAGAAAAGCCTTACACGGTAACCAACCTTTTGTGAAGGGAGCTGCCTCCAGTTAACTAAACTGTACGAGAGAAAAAGAAACCAAAAAAACCTAGGCTTTCAGCCTGTTTGCCTAGGTTTTCGCTTGACTATTGCGCTATTTACCAACTCAACCTTCAACCTACGAGCTCACGAACTTGCAACCCTTCCGGCCTTATGATCGCGCAATCGGTACCAGGTCTTCTCGAGGAGCGATAAACTGAATTGCAAATAGGCCGGGTCCGGGAAGTATTGCAATGTGCAGGCTAACTATGTATTGAAATGCTATTGCAGCCCAATATAGAAGTCAAATGCATGGCGTATTCCAAAGTGAAATTGGTCAACGCTGAGCGCGTTATTTGGTATTTAGAAAAAGAGCATAAGTGTTATAGTTGCAAGTGTTGTTTCTCAATACAAGCAGGGTCCAGGGACGAACCGCGGCTTGTGGTTTTTTTGTTGGTTCGTGCTTCTCATGACCAACCGCCTTCCATCCCTGCAGGGTTGGTTGATTATCAACAGACTCGTCTGGGAAGATGAAAAAAAAACTCGGACTACATTGGCTGGCCTCGCAATCGTCACTGAATAGGCCAAATCGCATCCAAAATGCCATTGATTTTGAACAGAAGTGGAATGCACGGCGCATCCGAAAAGGTCATGACTCAAGCCGGATGCTCAATTCCCTGTCTATTATTCGATATAACATGGAGGAATAAAGGTCGACACTTGGTTCACCGATAACTTGATCTCAGTGAGTTAACGATTTTTAGAAAAGATGGCGAAGACATGCGAGAAGAAACAAAGTCGTCGATGGTTAAATAAAAACAAAGCGTTATAGCTCATTGATGTGCACTTATTGATAGAACAACTTGCGTCGCGTCAGGAATGAAGATGAGTTCTGAAAAATCGACCTATAAGAAGAAAGACAGCGAGAAGGGAAATTTCCATGGTTAATTATCCGTGCTTAACTGCGAGAAGGGTAGCTGCTTAATGGTAAGAATAGGTTTGAACAAAAACAATCAAATGATGCGAATAGATACCATTCGTTTGTCATTATCTCTCTCGATCAATTAAACCCCGGCAAGGCAGTGAATGTCTCACGACAAAGGGCGCACAATTTCGATTTCTGAATTGCCTATTTTTTTGAAGAGAATACCCATTGTATTCCGAGCAATGAAGCCAAAATATAGCTTCTTTCATACTCTTTAGAGTTTTAGCCCTGGCGGGATCTTATCTCTTTTCGACGATGAAATGAAATGAATTTTTTTCTTGGTAAAGCTTAACAATTAAAAAATTACCACATCTTTCAAGAAAGGCAATGGAAGTGAAATCTATCTCTATATTTAGAACGGGATTAATCATATATTGCTAAATTCGGAGCGGATGCCCAGCTGTGAGTTGAAGAGCAAATTCTATTTTATGAAAAAATTCATGATAGCCCCCTAAGCGGAAGATAACAGAAGAATCTGTAACACGGAAACCTTTACGATCTTTACGATTTTAGCCCCCCAGCCCTTAGACGGCTCCTGGACCATTACCGACTCCGACGTGGTCTAATATGTTGGGTTGAAAGGGATTTGGTCGCAATGGTTCTGCCAACTATAGTTTTCTTCAGGAAACTGTCCATCATTGAGTTAATTCAGGAAATTATGTAACGGCTTATGGTTGGAGCAATTACGGTAAGCCTCCTTGAGCTCGACGTCGATGGCAGTTGATGTCATCTGAAGACGGTGAAAGCAGTAATTAGTGGCCTGTGTCTTCTCATAGGGGGACACTCTAAGGATAACTCGCTACAGAGCTTCCGTTATTTATAGGATGGAAAAATCGCGGATGTGCGAGTTGGGCAGAATGTGTTTTTGGCTACCTCTGTATTATTCAAGACCGCACGTATGTAAAGGCGGGGACGGTCATTTCACGGGCACAAAATAAAATCATTTCTCCTGGGAGCTGATGAGAGGAGTTGAGTTGATCGCTCATGTTGTGAAATTTTCCTCCTTTGGCATTCTTAGAAACGCTTCAGGAATATGTATTATGTTTTTCACAAATAAAATCTCACCGTGTACTCATAGAGCATGTATTAGGTACCGGATATCTTAGTGTCGTTTTTTCACCACGAGTTTCGGACCACCAATATTTTAATTCAGAATCCGGGGAGTGAAACAGCATATTCATCGAATGACTCATTAGCACTTTCCCATTTACCAGTATGAGTGGAAACCTCGTACGATTAAAGCTAGGAATTTTTTGAGTCGAAAAAGAGAGGTAGGTCGGTTTTGACATCATCTGACAAATCATCCCTCTCACTTGCTAAAAAGTTAGGCCTGGACAAAAGAAGTATACAGTTAGTTAGAGTAGGGTCTGCACTGTATGGTGGAAAAGTTAAAACTTACCAGCTCAACTGGACAATTTTTCCCGGAGTCTTTTTTGCCACATAGGGTCAAAAACGCACCCTTTTTGAGCACACGTGAGTAGCAGATGAGCACATTTATTTATTTATTTACTCATTCATTTATTGCATGAAAGGTGCACCAACAGTGCCTGTAGTTAACAGAAAATCAAGAATTCAAATCACAAAGAGTCCAATACTTAGAGGTCTTGTGCAGTCAACTTCGTTAAAGCGTTTGTGCATCATCGATCAACTGCTAAGGTGTCCTACCATTTCAGCACAAGACTGGTGCAGCCCCGTCTCGACTGATTTAACTAGGGCCACCTTTTTGACGACGATTGCGGGCATCACTTCAAAGACTTCACTGTCTTTTGAGAAAACTGTGAAAAACCGATGAGCATTTTAAATGGTAGTATTCCCTCCAACAAATGCAATGTTGGTTTGGTGGGCGGAAGTTGTAGCTCTCAGCAAGAATTTTGAAGCATTTGGTACACACATGCGAATTTGCACACTGGACCCAGGTTTTCAAAAAAGTATAAAAATTGGGGGAAAGTTAAATTGTGAACCAACAATAGAAAACAATAAGCAACATATTTCGCAGTATTAATGAGCAAAAAGGACTTTCTGAGATATTGATTTTCCATAGTAATCGGCCCCAAAACTTCCTGAACTCAGAAAAGCGACACTAAGATATCCGGTACCTAATAGAAAACTGATCAGGGAAGGGTCATCTACGACATCCTGAACGACTTCCCTTGAGGGTTGCACTGCAGTATATGTGGAGCTTTTTCTCCTTTCTAATATCCTCGCCCCAAATTAGTGCGCCAATAGGCTTGCCTAAATGACCTCCGTGGGCTGAAATGGCGGCGTAGCATTTCCCTGTTAAATCATCTCGGTGAAGGATCTACAAAATGGTGGATGATCAACAAGTAATCTGGGTATTTTTAGTATTTATCTTACTGGGTGCTATTTTCCGAGTGTCGCCCACTAGCATTTCCTATCGTTCGCATACTCGAATAAGTTGGTGCTTATGTTTCAAAAATAACAGCGAAAAGATGCACTACTGAAAATTTGAAAGGTTTGAAATCTTATGAATTTCAGCTAGCGATTTTTTTTGATTGAGCGTCGAAGGAGCACTGTCGCTAGCGAAAACTCGTACAATGTCAGAACTATTCTAGCCACATTTTTAAAGATACCTAATAAGGAAGCATAAGCGGCAAATGCTTTTGATGGAAAGAATTTCCGTCTCTGTTCATGGACGAAGAAAAAGTGGTCCAAGAGGCGTGCAACACTTATCACGCAACGTCGAACCGCCCGTGACGCGTGGCCTGAGGCAGGAAAATCGCTCTGTAGTTTCTGAGCAAACAATTTCAGCGTTTTTTTTGAGCGGCGAAGTATGTACTTGGAGAACTACCATGTACATACTTCGCCGCGCAAAAAAAATGCACCACACATCTGAAGCTGTGCAGACCATTTCTGGAAGCTGCGCATTCATTTGGTGAATATAACACATGCAAAAACAGCCGGGTGCTCACTCCTACGGCCCATTGCTTTGTACACCAACAAAAAGTTCTTCCAAACGTGGAAATCAGATCATTCTAAGGGCAGATGGTATGATAAAGTGTGATGGAGGAAAACAAGACATAGCACTTTTGTGACAAAGAACGCAGCTGCAGCACCATGGCAAAGTCTACCCGTGGGGGCGGGGGCGACTATGGCAGGTTCCGCCTCTCGGAGGACTCGGCGTGTGGTACTGGCGAGTTGTTGCTCGCTGCGGTGGGAGAGGTAGTAGAGAGACAAAGTAATATAATGTGTCTGAGAACTTCCCACTTGTGGGCGAAATCTTGCTTAATTTGAGTTTGTTTCAAATCGATGTTTCCGATTTATAACTGATTTGGTTTCTGACTAATTTATTGTAGCGCACCTACGAGTGCATAGTAATAAATAAATAAATAAATAAATAAATAAATAAATAAACAAATAAATGAATAGATAAATAAATAATATTTCCACACTGATGACGCCATGGATTGCATGAACTCGTCCATCGCAGAAGCAGTAGTGCAAAATGAGAACTCTTCTCGCTGGTTCCAATCTAAACCTTAGCCTTTCCTTCACCATTTTCCATTGTTCATGGATTAAATTCGAACTCATTGTTTTCCAAGCTGATTATGCTTGATGCGGTTTCAACAAAGTTATTACCAGGCTATGATAAAGGCATTATCGTAGGATACGTTTCATATTTATTGTTATTAATTATTTTATCGCATAACCTAAGCTGACGGCATGCACTTGAGCCTTTCAAAAGCTTCCCGTTCGAGACGATCCCGATCATCTGGATGAGCTATCTTGATCAGCTCGTATGCCCTCTGGCGAACAGTCTTCCCGCCAAGGTTCGCTATACCGTATTCCGTAACCACATATCGAGTGTGCCCTCGAGTGGTTACTACACCTGCACCCTGAAAACAGCAAAAACGCTTTTCGCTGGACTATAATTGATACGATAAGCAGCTCACTTCACTGAGGGTGGTCACTATTTTGGATTGTCCTTTCGCTGTTCTGGAAGAGATTGCAATGATACCCTTTCCCAAACCATCATAGGAAGTTGCAGATGCTGACATGAAGTCCGTTTGACCACCGAATCCTAAACGTTAAAAATATGAAGCACTCAAAGCAGAAAAGGATACATGTTGGAAGTCAAAGGGCAGAAAAGGATACGGTGGTCGAAGACAATTTAAATCTTCAAAACAAAGTGTCAAACCAGCAAGCAACATCGACGCACTGGAGGGTCAGTAGTGCGTAGGGCAGTTCTCAACGAGGGGTCGTATATGGGTTCGGAGGAGGTTAAAGATTGGGGAAAAGTCGTATCTTTGCAAGTTAAGAGGGGTCAAGACCAGTAGAAGGGGATCGTTTCAGACGGATTTTTTCAGAATTGGTAGAATTCCAAAAAGCGACAACTAGGTAATAAAGATTAATGGATTTGCCCTTTCATGGAACGAATTTCCTCCCCGCTTCGACTGCGCTGGAGGTGAAAGTAAACGGATTTGGGCTATGTCGAGTTATCTCAGAATCTATACTATTATAATAGAAACAGCCATGATGGTGACGGTGGTGGTCGCGAATGGAGAGCGAATCCTCTCGTGACTCTCCAAGAATGATGGACGGGTCGTATCGAAGTCCTGTAAGGAGAAAGTCGTCAAATTTGTGAAATTGGAACAATAAACGGTAGTCCCTGGTGGAGGGTCGTTGAACACAGCCATCAGCTGCGGAAGCTTCACCGCTGCACATTTTAAGACGAAGCGCCCAACGGTATGTGTGGGTTGGTTGTTGTTAGGTTGAATCTCGAGTGAAAGATGTTTGGATTTTGATCAATTTAATTTTCAAACATCGTTTAGTCTGCAAAGAATTGTAAGGGTCTTTCAAACCCCGCACCATCTGCAGTTTTCCTACATATATGAGAAGATTATTAGCTCTACATAAGCAAATCTCGTAGATGAGGCCTATGCACCAGCCGACTCTTTACGTGGCTTCCTGGTATATTCATCATTGAAGAATCATTAGCCCAATCACCTCCATTGAGCCATCGACGCTCTCTTGCGTTAGATTGGGACAACTTCAGTCTTTCACCCAGTCCATGAATTACCGCTTTTCCTGCATGTTCATCCCAACATTTAGGACCAGTTCCAGGGCAGTGCTATCGCTGGTTCGGGCATCAGCTCGTATTAGTGACATTAAGAGTTGATCAAGACCCTTCGATTTGCTGTGGATTTCAAGAAAGTTGAAACAAATTACCTGAGTAGAATGTTGTTCCAATCGAATCGGACGCCACTTGGCCAGTGATGTCGACTTCTATTCCAGAATTGATGCATGTCATTTTTGAATTAGCTCTTACTATGTCGGAGTGGTTCGTCCAACTACAACAGTCGAAATCTGAAGTGAACTAGCAAAAAAACGGGAATGCCAAATACTATATATTTAGGATTTAATTATTATCTTAGATGATCAAAGCTAAAATTTCACTCACGTATCATAGGATTGTTGTCAAGAAAGCGGTAGAACTTCGGAGATCCGAAGGCGAAAGTCGTCACTACCTGAATGCCTTATGGTAAGTGCGTATAATGCATTAAATGGGCGCTGGTATAGGCATCGTTATGCGGACTGACAATGAGCCTAGAAAGACGGGATGAGCTTCTCGTGCAGAGGTGCCTATGCACTCCCTTCCTCCTTGTGGCCGATGTCATAGTTTGCGAATCGAGCGATTCGCTAGCGAATCGCTGGATCCGAGCGTTGCGCCAGCGAATCGAACGTTGCACCAGCGAATCGAACTTTGTACCAGCGAGTCGAACTATGTACCAGCGACTCGAATACAAAATCAGGAAGAAAAGTCGATTCTACTTTCCGGGCATTAACGATTTTTTCGAATTGTTGATCACTCCCTTTTCGATCAGATCGACTCACACCTCCACCCAGTAGCTCCGTGTGCACTCCGAGATCCTTGTGATTTTTCATGGCCGCAACAGTGGAATGAGTCCGGTATTGCTCCAATGCCTCAAATATTCCGATGAAGTATTCATGAAATTACCCAACCGAATCGTTTACACATAAACACTCCTTGAAAGCGAATAATGAACGACATTGTAGAATGCAGTTTTAATGAGTCTTTTGATATTGGCCCAATTTATAGCGACGTAGCGCTTTTGGCTGTTAAGTGCTTTGTCCGAGGAGTATGATTCTGCCGATCATTACATGGCTCGTCATTCGGAGAAAGTTGCAGATTCGCGGTCGCGACAAGAAGGTTGAGAAGGGCATACGCATATAGCTGAGGGAGTGCTCCCAGGTCGCCATGGCAATTCAAGAAGAGATGTATACCTCTAGATGTGCCTTCGAACGCTGATCTCAAATCTACCTTCCAAATCTGCTAAACGATTCTCTGAGTGGGGTTATGAGGAAAAACAGCGCAACGGTAGTGCTCGAGACTTACAGGCACAGTGTCGTAGGATCGGTCCCTTATCGTATCACTGTTTTGCATTCTTCAGGAATCCAGGTATATAGGCTATATTAAAGCCCTTTAGCTATATTTCTGAAGAATGGAAAACAGTAGACGACCGGTCCTACGGCGTTTTGACTGTAAGTCCCGACCACTCCCGTTGCGCTATTTTGCTCCATAACTCCATTCAGAGAATCGTTTAGCAGATTTGGAAGGTAGATTGAGTCAGGGTGAATATCGCTTGAGGATTCCTCAACGGCACGTCGAGGATTCTCTGCCCGTCAGACACGATCTCTCGCGCGGACATTCACACTCGCCATGGCGTGCCGTCTGTGCTCTCCGCGCGGATGTTCACTCTCGGCACTACTCTCGCATGGTAGAGAGCTATGGTCGAGGAAATCCTCGACCGTTATTCACCCTGGGAGGCAGCGTTCGGAAGGGCACCTAGCTGTACGCATCTGTTCTTGAATGGCCATGGCGACCTGGAAGCCTTTCCGAGAAATATAGGCATCGCACACGTTTGTATTATGCACGTTACCCTCAAATCAACCAAGTGAAAGGCACATTCCACGATTACCCTGTGTGATTATTCTACTCCAAAATAATGTCAGTTATGTAAAGTACCGTTGAAAAAGTGGAAAAGGTAAGCCTACAAAGAGCCCTTTTCTCGGGTCCTGTGCGAGTTTGCCATGAGTGTCGTGCCGTGAAGAGAGAATCGTATAGGGACAAGCCAGACATAGACATCGACGAGTTTATGGAAGGAGAAAATCGTATCGTAAGATGGCCTGCTTCCTACGAAACAAGCCCTTATGGTCCCTAAAAGACTCTGATCTACAAAATTCGTCAGGCTTTGCGCCGCCACATTATCATGTCACAGGGAGAATTGAACACAATCTTGTACCTTTTCTAAAGCTCTCCCTTTACTCAGAATGATCCACCTAGACCTAGTTTATCGTAGAGAGTGCCTTCAGTATGCATTTTCCTGCACAACTATTCGAGATTCTTTCTCCATAGACAGAATCACCTTCAGTTCATGATATCTGCTCACACAACACTGTTCCTCGTATTCGGTGTCCTACTGCTTATTGAGGAAGTGCTATTACAGTCTTTTTTGACGTAATAAATCTACTGAAATTATTACCGATCGTTGTGGCTGTGCGTGAAAGATCGCTTTCATGAGAATTTTATGGGTCTAACGTTTCGAGCGATTCGACGCCTCCAGATTGCGATAGACCTCTTGTTTGAAAAGAGTCTTCCGCTGCCAGTGAGATGGCTAGCCATTAAAAACCGTGGGATTCCGGGAAAAGCTTTTATGCTATTCGGATTAGTGCTTAATGAAAGAACACAACTTTTAGGATATAGATATAGGGTGATTTGAAAAGAGAGACTGTGTGTACCTAATTGAAGAGTAGCTCCGTTTTCCACCAGATTTTCCGCGATGAGCTTCCCTATTTTGGTTTCTACCTGAAAACACAGACAATGTTCAACTTGTAAATGTGACAAACACGATTTCCTGCAGTTCTTGCCTAGTAGGTGTTGTACTATGTTCCTATATCACTGCTATAACCGTTACATATCCTTTACTCAACGCCTAAACTGCGGCATCCCGACAAAATTGTGAAAATTTCGATTGATTCCCACTCAGAGAACATTTGCAAATCCAATTTGGACTAGTAGCTTATTTCTGCAATGTAGTCAACGACTGCGCACAACATAGGCTTCAAACTGAATCAACAGCACCACCAAAAATAAAGGAAGTCCTTTGGTTCTATTTTTACGCACCAAGTGGACTTATACTCTGCACAAACAAGGCGAACACGCGGTAAGCGTCAGGAAACGCGCAGTAGAGTGGATGCTGAAAGTATCTCCTCGACTCTCAGACCCTGTCGGCGATAGAAGACCAAGGACGCTGCCGCATTTGCAAAAGAACCGAACGCCCCCGTCGCCTGCTGTACGAATACGACATGTCATTTTGTAGTGACCATTGAACCCTGGCGGTAACCGACTAGATCCCTTGAGACGTTAGACAAGCGTCAGGCACGACCGCCAATACCTCTGCAAGGGGGGGGGGGCAAAAAAAAGTCACTTTGCCCATGGCGCACATCATCAAATTTTTCGTCGCACAGGATGCCGTTGTTGATGAATGTTTTACGGCAGAATATTCCTTAGGTGTCCCCCCAAAGCAGAAGCAGGCCCTCCTTCACTGCCCCCACCGTCTTCAGAATATGACGTCATCTGCCGTCACCGTCGAGCTCAACGAGGCTTACCGTAATCGCTCCGGCCTGAAGCTGCTTCAACGATTCAATTGGTGGAT